TGGCAGCGACGACGATGTGGCCAACGCCAGTGGAGGCTCCTTTCCTCCCTGAACCAAGCAGTGTTGGGGCCCACACCCAAACCGAAAACCTAAATCCGGAGCCGTGAACATGGGGTTACGGCTCCAACGCCGGAAGGTGTGCATGGGCTGGTGCGATGGTGAAAGGAGGGTGAAGAACTGTAGGTGGGGTTGGACTGCAGGAAGAAGTCCCTATCCCTGCAGCGATTTTCCGGGTTTTGCAGGTAAGGTTTAAGTTAGGACAAGACTTGCCCATGTTCCAGTTTCATGGGGCTACGACAACACTACCAGACGTTGCGCTGCAGTTATCAGGGCCCTTGTATCCGAACGCCTCGTGGGATTTGTGACTTGAAGCAACGAGTTTGAGCCCATGTCCCCTTATCTATTGACATGAGAAGTAAGATCTGCACGCAGTTTTCCATGCGGCTCTCGCATGCATCACCTGCTATCAGCCATCCAAAGCCAAGCCAATACCTGAATCGATGTCGTGTTTTATGTTGCAGTACATCCGAGCTGCACCTGAGGCGGCGTAAGGAATTGCCTCAGGTACTGGCAGCTGATAAAGCCGGCATACTGCACCCCATTTGCCTGCAGCTGTACTTTTGAAGCACAGTCCGAAAACCCCGAATCCAGAACCCCCACAGCCCAAGAGTGGTTATCACACCCTTAAAGAAAGGGGTACTGTCAGGGGCTTACATGAAGGTTAATCTTGGCTGGAAGGCCTGGGATCGAACTCGTTGTTGTGGTTGTTAAACTGCAATGATGTGGATAGTGAGATTGATGATCGTACTGGCGGTAGGATGGTGACAATGCGGAAGCGGTGATAGTGATGGTGCTGGTGCTGATTACGATGCTGGTGACGACTACGGCTTTTCCTCAGTGTTGCCATGGCTGTCATTTCTTGCTTCTTTCAAGTCTCTAAACCCTAAACGCCCAACATTCCCCCTCACCCCTTTGCCTTTTCAAGCGAACCCAAGCGACACGGGGGTTTCCGAAAATAGGGGACCCTAATATAGTACCCTCAATAGTAGGATCCTTATTATAAGGACCCCAAAATAAGGTGCCCCTTATTTTCGGAAACTCCCACATGAAGGCGAGGGCAATTTCAATCGCGAGCTGAATCGCCGGCCCCGCAAGCGGCAGAAGACTGGAAAGTCCCAGGGCTCGAAGGCGGCCTAAACCGGATTCTTAGGGTTTAGGGTTTAGGGGTTTAGAGGTTGTAGGGATTTAGGCTTAGGGTTTAGGGTTTTGGGGTTTAGAGGTTTAGGGATTTAAGGTTTAGGGTTTGGGGTGTTGTTAGGGTTTTGGCTTCATTTTTGTTGTCGGGTTTTAGGGTGCAAGGTATGTTATTTTTGTTAGGGCATTTTAGGTTTCAGGGGGGTTTTGAGGGTTCGTCTCTGTTTGTGCACGCGTTCTGGGCAGAGGGGAGCTCCCGGGCGACGAGGCAAGCCCGCTGCAAAAGAGTCTGGGTTCAAAAAAAGGGTTCTCAGCACTGGACTGAGGCCAAGAGTCCAGGATGCATGGACTTGGAGTAGAGAGTTTGAAGCTGCTTAAGCCTTGCAGCATTCTTTGAAATCGTCGTATCAGCGACAATATTCAAAGCACCGGCTGGTTGTAACTATGCATGCGGATGAATGGGGTCCTTGATTCAAGGTCCCTATATTCGGGTCCACGTTTCAGTCCCTCTGCATTCCTTGAATATCCCACTTAAGATTGGCAAAAATACAGCCAACTCCCAGAGCCCCGGCAGGTGCGCCTGCCCCAGAACGACAGCCTCGCCGAGAAGATGCGTCGTAGGAACATCGAGTTCGAGCTCAGGCATCACATCGCCGGGTTTAGGATTTGGGGACTTGGTGCGAGGGTGCAAGGCTCTTGGGCAGGGCCGTTGCAGTAGATTTTAGCATCCAAAGTTATGCAACGGTTTAGGGCAGGAGGGTCTTCATAGTCGCCTCTTCTCCCCAAGTAGACAGCAGAGGGTTGCTCGACAAGATGCCTGCTAGGGGTCCTTCTTGGAGTAAGTTCTTGGCACGTTCGAGAGCTTCGAACAAAACCTCCACCTCTTCAATCTCTTTGAAATTCAGCCAGCAGTATTATACAGCATGGCCTGTGGCCCCCCCCCCCCCCCAAATGGGAGTTTCCGAAAATCAGGGGGTACCTTAGTTTGGGCTACTTATAATAATAAGGATCCTACTATTTAGGATACTATATTTTCGGAAACCCCCAAATAGCCTTTGTTGACTCATTCGAGCCGTTCAGAGATGCCTTGCAGCGGGTTGGAAATACTAGTCCGCCGCGCCCCAAACTGACGTTGTTCCATCGGTTTGGGTCGCACTATATTTCGGACCTCTGTGTATATATATATATATGTATGTGTGCATGTATATATATATACACATACACACATACACATACATGGATTTTTGCCCAAACATAGGCCTTCAAGCACCGAAAGCCGGACAATTTGGGAGCCGAGGGCTTCTAGAGCCCAGCATGGACCTGAAAAGATTTGTAAAGCCTTTAGGGTCTAGGGTTTAGGGTTTAGGTCTGGGGTTTAGCGTATCCGACAGATTAACCCGTAAAATCNNGAGTGCGATGTGCTGCGAGGGATTTGGCCGGGCGAGCTCAGTTCAAGCCTGTGGAAAAGGTCTGGGGTTTAGGATAGTTTAGGGGCTCAAAAATCCTTAACACCAGCACCTACAGCCCTAAACAAAGCCACGCCGAAGCCCAAGCCCGAAAACGCTGAAGCTTCACAATGCAAACCCGGAAGCCTGACTAACTCCGGCAAAACCCAGTCAGTGCAACATTCGAAGAGCCCCACCCAAGCCTACTCTACCTTAAAGCCTAACCCCTACATAAGGCCTTTGCAACATCAGTCAGAAAGCTGTCAACCCCGAAGAACCGAAGAACTAACACCTAAACCCCAAGCATGCCATGTAGGTACGGCAGCCACCGGCACACCACGAAGGCGCTCGAGTCGCTAAGCCGAGAGCAGGAGGAGATGCTTCGAGTTTCGAGGGGCGTGCAGGATTTGGGATGGAGGCTTTAGGGTTTTAGGGTTTAGGGATTAGGGATTTGGTATGGAGGGTTTTAGGGTTTAGGGTTTTAGGGTTCTTCAGAGGCAAAAAAAGGGTTCTTCAGAGTGCCCGGCAGTTACAATAGGCCTGGATGCAAAAGGGTTTAGGGTTGAGGGGTGTCTATCATGGTTTGAGGTATGTTTTCGACTTGGGAGCGTTTCGCGGGGTTTCAAGAGGGTCTTCTAAGGATGCTTTAGTAAGGGGTTCATGGCGTCCAGGTGATCTACGAGCTTTGTAGGCTGCAGGGTCGTGCAGGCTTCTAGCAGGATTCAACAGAGGTTGGGCTGAGCACTTCATGGTTTTAGGGTTCATTAGGGTCGTTTCTAAGAGTTTCGGCGGGGTTCTGGTTTCTAGGCGCCAGGTTTGTTGATTTTGCATCTGCGGAAACGTTGTAAGGTTGTTGCTTGAGTGTTGGGAGCCTGGTACGACTTGTATAGCTGCCATCGGATCGAAGCTTCAGGTTATGAACTGAAATCCTTTTCAAATCTTAAACCAGTAACTGTACAGCAGCAAGATCAACTATGGTACCCATCCCTAGGGCTCCAGTTACCTAAATAGTGGTTTACTGAGGTACATAATATATGGTTAGTAACCCACTATTTAGGTAACTGGAGCCCTAGGGCATAATTTCGGGTACTTCATCGAAAACCCACGGGCTCGGTTCTCCATCTCGCACACACTGAGGTCTAAACTCAAGACGGCGATTCTCGTTGAAGTTTATTCCATGCTCCCTCAAGCGGAAGCGTAAAGCTTGTCCTCTGCATTTCCCTAAGCCTTAAACCCTAAACCCTTAAACCCTTAAGCCCTTAAGCCCTAAACCCTATAAGCCCTAAACCCCTAAACGCCCTACCTTAGGCCTGCATCCCCAAGCCCTCAACAGGAGCTCCTACAGCTGGTGGTCGCTTGCGCTCTCTACCCGAACATAGCACTGCCTGGGGAGAACAACAGCGAGAGGCCGGTAGGGTTTAGGGTTGAGGCCGGGTTACATGGGCTTAAGATAGCAACGCAGTTGTAACGTAAGGGCCTATACAGACTTTTCAAAAAAGGGACCTCCCATAGACCGTTTAGAGACATGTCGTCATGGACCCCAGAACCCTCTTCTATGTAGGCGATGTCCTGCTAGTTGGACTCCTCTGACGTACACAGGGTCCCCGAGAGGGTGATGCCACTTCCGTACATGGTTCCTGTCGCCCCCAACCTGCCCGCATGTTATGACGGCCTAAAAACCCGAAACCAGTAGCTGTGCCGGGAGTAGGAGCGGCAGCTTAGCTGGGGAATTACTGTACGGTGCAGGGCTTGCGGGACCAAACTATAGGGTCGGACATTCCGGTAGGGTTTATGGTTTAGGGATTTATAGAGTTTAGGGTTTAGGGTTAAGGGTTTAGGGTTTAGGTTCAGGTGTGCGGCCGAGTGCGTCTTCCACACGCAGCAAGTGCCCTTCGTCCCCTGGCGAGTGGGGACGGCATGTCAGCTTGGTGTTCAGTACCTCTGAGCCTCTGATTATCTTGATAATATAGTTCTGTATACGCCTACATTCTTGCTGCTTGTGATCTGTCAAAAGACCCTCGTGCACCGAGCAGAACCGAGACCCAAAAGGTGCGTGCTTGTCCTTGCTTTTGATCACTGTCACTCCAACTAGCCTACCCAATCGGGTGATTGTGCGCACGATGCCTGACTGCTAATCCAAATCCGAAGGATCCAATGATTAGGAACCTGAGTTTAGGAAGTTTAGGATTGCGGTTTTGTAGGTCGTTCTTTTGGCGTAGTTTCTGGTCAAATTGTGTAGTGGTTTCGGGCTAGCGGTAATCGTATATGACCATGAACATAAGGAGTTTATATGCCGTCATGTTATGATAAAGTAAGCCCAAACCCCGAACCCTGAACCACAACCCCGAGACCTCATTCAAGGTGAACCTGCACCCCAGCAGCGTGATTTACCCTCAGCTGCCGACGGCGCTGTCAAGGGAGGAGGCGTCAGATATTTGTGCCTTCATGCTCTCGGTGAAAGTTAACCCTCTAGGGCGTACGGCTCCAGGGATTAGGGGTTTACGGCTTAGCGAGGTTTTAGATTGGTTGCGTAGGCTGGGTAGTTGGCTTTCACTTTCTTGGCTTGTGTGTGTGTGTACCAAGCTGTGTCTAATCTTCGTAAACTTATCATGCCCATTCTAGCCACTGCGGTTACTGATTTTCGACCAAAATATGCCTTGGCCTTGAACACAAAAGGAAGATGCTTCTCCGGTTGAGTGCCGCTTGTGGGCTTCGAAACTGAAAGTTCAACGCCCTCAGCCAGCTCTACGACCCCAACCCATAAACCAGAAAGTCTTCGGTGCTTCTGTAAGGCTTGTATTTAGGACTCGTTGCTTTGGTCCTTCTGTTTTGTCCTCCATGTGTTGCTTTGGGACGTCTCGGGTGTAGGGTTGCGTTAATTGAGGTAATGAAGGGCTTCTAGGGCTTTTTTTTTGAGTTTTCAGGCTCTTAAAGCGCGGAGTGCAGGGTTGTCTTGAGGGCTTCTTGGGCTTAGGGCTTGGTCTGAGCTTGCCAGGACTTTGTACACTGCTTCGAAATCAGGCTATCGGTGTTGCAACTCAAGGTGGCAGCATTAGCTGTTGTTCCCGTACACCCTGAAGGTTAATTTCCCGTCTTGTTTCGTCGTTGATGTCTGTCATGTTGCTTCAATGTTTGTTACATCTGTCGGTATTGATAAAGCGTTACTTGTACTTGTTGCCGGTGATCGTATATTTCCTTGCTGTTGTGTTTACTTCAATCGTAGTTGTCAGTATCATGCTGCTGCTTATGTCGCGGCTTCACCAATGCCTGAACATTTAGATAGGGTTGCTTGCATCAGCCGAGGCTGATTAGAAGACGGATGTCTACAAGTCAACCGTCAATCCGAAATCCTGCGCTGAGTAGTCAATAATGGTTACAGTCGTCCCTCTAGTGTTGGCAAAGTTCAAACTGCCTCGAAGGGTTTGGCCTTCGGCAGCATCCTCCAGACGCACATGCCTTTCCTGACGCATGTGACACGCAGCCCGACCGCGAGTAATGAAAGCGACTTATAGTTAGGGCTTATAGTGTTTGTGGCAGGAAGCAAACGGCCGGTGAAAGGAAAGACATAAAGGTAAGCATCCTCCAAGCGTGGTCCTGCAACTGCAGATACGCGCCCCTGCAGCGGGTCTTTGATGTGAACCCGAAATCCAAGTTCTAGATCCTGAACCCAAAAACTCAAAACCTAACATGACGCACCAACATGCAAAATAGGCCCCTTCGAATGTTAGAAGTTCAGATGCCCTTGAAACCTAGACCCTAGTTGATCTTGGATCAGCTCACATTCCACATTCTTGGCATGTGTATTCGGGGTAGTAGCAGCAACGGACCATTTGCGGAATGCTGGCTTACCATGAAGAATGTAGCTGGATGAGTCTGCCATCCTTATGGCGCAATGTCAGACATGATATGCGATCGAAGGGAGCGGCAAATCACATTCCTAAGTCGGCGTTTGAATCGCTATGGCCTTTATCTAGCAACTCAGAGTGGTGTTAGGCAGTAGCTTCGGCAACTCATTGTAGGCGGCGGGTAGCTCCTTCAAATCTCGGAATAGACCAGGAGTATTGACGAATTTCAAGACATGGCCACACATATTAAGTGAAATCACGAAGCTTATTCAGCCACTGCAGGCAACAGGTGTGTGAATGTATAAATGAACAGATATACAGAGACATAACGAAAACGCATACAAGTTTATATATATATATGTGCACATCTAGACACACGTTTTCGACACAAGTGCGCACATGCACATCCAGGTAGTTTAGTGTTTCTGTCTTTTGGATGTCCTTACCTATCGTCCCCTATTCTGCAAGGTGAGTTCATTTTGCTGGACACAAATTTATGTAAGGTTTACCTCCAGGGCCTGGAACAACAACAGATTCAGGGTTCAGGGGAAGTTTAGGGTGCAGGTTCAGACAACGGGCTGGTAGCAAGGGTTCTGGAGAGCTCAATTCCTTTATTCAAGGTTTCTTCTTCTCATCATGCAAAGGAACTCAGTGAGTTCCGCGACCCATTCCAACCACATAGAGACCTGCATTGCATGAAAGGCTGCCCCGTCGTCCCTGTTGTGCTGCTGTGCGCCGTTCGTGTAGACATGGCGGAGGACTGCTGCGCACTTCGGGTTGGCAGAGAGTTTACCCTGGAGTTTAACCCTACTATTGTAGGTTTCCAAACCCCGCACTATTGCATACGAAGTCCAATCTTTTCGGCCGAATGTTGCACTGCATCCACACAGCCTTGGCCAGACAAGTTGTAGGTCCATCCACTTTGGCTATGCCAGCAAAGCATGTCATGCTGCTGTTGTTTCGATTGAGGCCATGTCTGGAACGTGCTAGACGTCCCGTTTCCTACGCAGTAGCCTGCTGTACCTATATTCCTGAACCTGAAACCCCTGCAGTAAACCTTTTTGTCCTAGTGTGAGCACCGACACCTTCAACGCCTTAAACCTTAAACCTCTATATGCCCGCTATATGAAATTTCTAACTACCGAGGGCTATCTCGACTGTGCAGGACTGCCGTATGCTGATTTGCGACCAGCACTTCGGCAGATCTTGAGCTCAGAAGTTTCGACGAAGCTACAGGGGCACTTTTTCGGGTATTACCAGGGTACTGAGTTTGGGGTTTTGGGTTCAGGGTACTATGAAGGGTACTAGAAGGCAACTGTAAGGTGTAAGGGTACTATAAAGCATTTGGATCTCGATATCTCGTAAACATCCGAAAGTGCTTGCGAGGACTGCGCGCATAGGTGTTTGGCAATGTGAGGTGGCTTCAACTTACCTTCGTGGACACGGAAGAGCTACTTTGCTTGATCGAGGATGCTCTGCTGTTGAGGTTTTCTATCCAGAGCCTCAGCGGCAGGAAGCATGTGTCAGCACCAAATCTTGCTTGTGGAGCAGAGAGGGAACTTAAGTAGCTAAGGCCCCTATATCCGGCGCTCCAAACCTCATGACTCCCCCAGGAAGCTCAAGAATACACACTAAAGTCCTTATCATACCCCACTGCATCGGACAGTGGTGGAAGGCTTGGATCACACTGTCTTGCCCAGTGCCCGCAATCCCAAAGCATGCTGGCGAATAAGCATTGGATGGGTCTAAGTACCAATATAGTAGATATTGAGATTTTAAGTTTTGATTGCGGAATATGTTTGTACTTGACCCCATTGGTCCGGAGCCAGCCTTGCCCTGAAACCCGCACCTAAATCCTAAATCCAAGCACAACTTGTCAGATGTGGACTTCCAACAATGGGATAGCTTCGGACCCCCCTTACATGAAACCAATCCCAAGGGCGCACATCCTGAACGCGAGGATCATCCCAACATAGGGTTTAGGGTTTATAGGGGTTGATGAGCAGCCTAGCCTGAGTACATAGTACGGGTTTTGAGGTACATTGAATTTGCATTGCGTAGGGACGGATTCTTCCGACCAAAAGATTATACTCCAAGCCAAAACCTCAAAGCCCCATTCTAGAAAAGCCCTTCTAACAGGCCGCGAACGGCTCCGGACAGGCTTCTGAGTACGCCGCTACGAACAAAATCAAGACCAAATCTCATCCTACGCACCGAAATATTTTGGGGTTTAGAGGGTTCAGTGGATTAGCCGGAGTTCATGGCAGGAGTAAACATCGACCACAGTAGCTGTGCAAAAATTGGAACAACATCATCTTGACAACACCAGCAGCGATAATGCAGCTAAGAAGTTGCACCACCTGCAGAATAGCATAATCCCTGAATGGCCCTGGTTCTTAATCATGTTCATAACCACAGCAATGCACACGCACACGCCCTAACCCCCCCTAAACCCTAAACCCTAAAGCCCTAGACCATCATCTTCCGAATGGCGCGACGGTGAGAGCCCGTAGCGCCAGAGCCTAAAAAGCGGAGGAGCGCCCTGGACAGGGAGGTCTTGGATCTCTTCGAGGTCTGGGTTCTGCAAAAAATGCGGGGCACACCCCGGTGTAGGGGTTTAGGGGTTTAGGGTCTAGGGGTTTCTGGGGGTTTCTAGGGGGTTTCTAGGGGTTTAGGGGCTTAAGGTTTAGGGTTTAGGGTTGAGGAGGAAGTGCTGGCCGTCATCAAGTCCGGTTTCAAAAAGAGTTTAGGGTTTATAGGGATTTAGGGGTTTATGCTTACTTGGTTGGGGATCGAGGGTTCTACCTGGATCCCAAAATCATGGCCTTTTCATAGGTGTTGGGCCATGACTTTGCGTCTGGGGGTTTAGGGGGTTAGGGGATATACCTTTAGAAGTCTGGAGGTTTAGGGTTCAAGGGGTACCTTTTTGAGCACGGCCATAGAAGCGCAGTCAGGAGAGCCGAATTTCGAACCTCCCTGTGCTCGATTCCACAAGTCCTCATGCAGAAGTAGGGGTTCCGGAGCTAGGGGATTCTTCTGGGTTTAGGAGTTGTGGTTTCCGGTTTCAGCCTTGCGGGGAACTTGGCCAGGCGAGCTCTAGTCAAGCCTGTGTAAGAAAGGGCTAATTAAGGCCTTAACTTAGAATAAAGCTGCTACTGCACCGGTCCCATGCTAACTAACTGTAGCCCCAGTTACATATTTTATGGAAAGAGAAGGCAACCATAATCATAACCCCTAAAAAGCTACGTAGGGGTTTTGGGCTACAGAAATGCCTTAAACCCCCGAAGCCCAAAGCCACGTACTCCTAAACCTCTAATCTGCAAATCGTCCAGTCTACGGTTGTTTTCCATAGAGCTTTCTGCGAGGTCGATTGTGATGACGACGTGCCCTGCGACGCCGGGGATGCGCAGGCTTAGGGTTTTGGCTGGTGTTCTTGGAGTTCCCTTGCATTGGATCCTAAACCCCTCAACCCTAAACCCTAAACTCCTAAACCCTCGATTACTGCACAGCGAGCCCAAAGCCTCCCGCTCAAAGTTCAATCGCATCCTAGAGTCCTTCGACACCGAAGCCCTAGACTTGTTGTGTCCTGCACTCCCGCACCCCATCGATCGGTACTGTGATCCTTTCAAGGCCGCGCTGCAAGGCGGGCATAGTCCGGGGTAGGCGGTTGGGAAGCAACACCTCTAAAGCCCTCGGGCCCTGAACCCTGATTTACTTCACCTTGAAGCCTCAAAGGCACCACGCCCCAAGAACTAGAAACCCTCAATCCGACCCCGAAGCCTCAACCCTGCAACCCTTACACCTTTTTTTCCTAAAACCACCAAACCCTAATAAAAGCCCTAGAAATCCGGCTCCAAACCGCAACAGGCCGATCTGGAGTCGCAGACCCGGCGTGCGCCGGCCAGACTCAGGCGACTCGTGTTAACTGTTTAGCGTTTAGGGTTAAATCGATTTTCCCCATGGAAGGGTTTGGGATTTAGGGCATCTTCCAGTATAGGGTCCAGTCGGATTTGTATGTGTGTGTGTGTACATGTATGTACATACATGCATGCATGCATACGTGCATAAGTAAATACATATGTCACGCATGTGTATGTGTATATACAGTTTTGAGGGTTTTTCCGAGAGCAATTCTGCAAAGCTTTTGAGTGTGGTTTAGATGGTTTGGCTCCGGAAGTTCCGCTGGGCTTTGTGGGGTTTTGGTCGGCTAGATAGGCCTTTGGGGCATTGAAAGCTTTCCCTTTACTGGGCCTAGAGGTTGGCCCTTTAAAGCTTGCGAAGCAGATTGGCCAATAAGATCCTCTTACTAATTAAGAGAGTCTTGTTGGCGAGTATGTTTCACAGGCATTACCGGGCCGACCTAGCCGGGATAGGGCTTCGGAGAGCTGTACACTTGATGCTTCGATCAAGGCAGAGGAGTGTACAGCGTTTGCGGATGCAGGTGGGTGGTTCTCTGAATTAGGGTCCCTTTTTGGGTCCCCAATCTATATAGTACGGCACCCTTCTAAAAAGGACCCCCCAAAAGGGACCCTAATCTAGAGAAGTACCCAGGGGCCTTCCGAGCCTAAGGCCTGCGGTCTGGCCGTATGCGGTTTGAACTCAAGGGTTCATGCAGGGTTTAAAGCGTTACAGGCTTCGCTTTGGGGTTTTTTGGGGTTTAGACTTGGCTATTCTGGCTGGGGTTCTTATAGAGTTCAAAGGCATTTGGGTGTTTCAGGTGTACTTCGTGAGAACTACAGATACAACCCCGAATCCTAGATGCTTTCAGTATTGGAGCCGGTGATAAACTACCCATAGGCCCCTAAGTAGTTCCTTTTTATGGTTTGTATTTAGAATCCTATAGGGTAATCCCAAAAACGAACTACATGGGTAATTACCGCGATGAAGGTGCTCGTGATAGCATGAGGAGCAGCTTCTCAGTCATGTCCACAACCAAAACCAGAATGGTTGGGCCCGACGTTGGGGTATCACAGGGCTCTGTGATGTAGGGTACGTTTTAAGGTTTATGTACCAGGTATTAGGCTTGTGGGATGCTGAGACTGAGACCTATTTTGGAGATGTTAAGCACTGGAGGGCGCAGTATTGTGTGGGGCTCGGGAACGATGAAGCTTGTTGTCTCTCTTCGGGGGTGGTTATTTCGACATCACCCAACCACCCTTTACAATCCAAACGAGCTCGAGACAGGCCCCGTACAAATCCCAAGAGCCCTGCAGGCGTGCAGTGCAAGGATTACCGGGCAAGCAACTCAAAGGTACTTGGGCCATGTCTTTGTTTTGAGGTCTGACTTTGAGTAGGGTTGTTGAGCATTGTCAGGAGCTTTTGTCAGGTTTCGATGATGCCGGTTGCTTCTGTGCCCAAACTTTGACTAAAGCATGTGGATAGTCGCGTGCCGGCGGAGTGACACGTAGAAAATCCGGTTCGTGTATGCGTAGTCAGTGTAGTCGTGCAAGTCCGAAAGGTTGATGCAACAAACAGCTCCCCTTGTGGCACCCCAGGCTGGCTCGGCAGTTCGTAGCGTGGAGTTACTGAGCCAGAAGGGGGCCCCAAATGTAAACCGAAAATAGTCGACTCCTGAATAATTATGAGGCCCCTCAAGAAAGCAACGATCCCTAGTGATGAGGCCCCTCAAAAAAAGCAACGATCCCGAGTGTTCGTAGTCCCTACATGACCATCTCGCCCCCGTCGTCACTCCAAATGCCGCCGCAGAGAGCCGCAGTCAGTGTAGGCTGCGCCTGCTTGCCTCTGTAGGGTTTAGGGTTTAGAGCGTAGAGTTTAGGGTTTAAGGGTATAGGGTTTAACAGACATCCTGAGCATTAATAAGCCCTGAAGCCACGACAGCCTGAATAGACCTTACAGTGGCTAGAGATATCGATACCTTCGACTCCAGCGTGGAGGCATACGACAGCAGCAATCTGAAAAGGCGTCGAATTACCTTCCCCTCCGGTAAACCTTGAAGCTGAAGATACCATAGCCTTTGAAACCCTTGTAAGCCCCTAAACACGTAAGCCCGGGACCCTAAAACTGTGCGAGATTGTGAGAGCATACAACTGCTGCACTTGCTCCAGTTCAAATCTTGTAGCAACAGCCACCTACAGGTTCTTATTTGGGATTGTATTTCTTAGGGCAACGATAAATGAGCTGCATACACACCTCCTTCATCCCTTTGTGAACACGACGGTTTTGGGGATCTCGAGATGAAGCTGAAGCGTCACCATCCTTCGAGGCTACGACCTAACTCGCCGTGCTCTCACCTTCTGGCATCGGAAGGCGGAATTCAGCTGGCAGACTCTCATGCCGAATGAGCCCTAGGCTTGCAAATGAAGACAAGTACAACCACTACAGGGTGACAGGGTGTTAACGGCTTTACTAGGGTAGCACGTACCAGGTTTAAACTTCAGAGCTCAGGGTTTATGCTTGGAGTTTACTCCCCGGCATCCTATAAGCTATGGAGCCTGCCAGACCTTGAAGCTCTGCCAAGTCTTCTAGCCCCAAATCGAAGCCCTGAGAGAATCGCAAAATCTTAACTACCTAAACCCCCTAAAGTAGGTAAAATAATGGCCCAAAACCTCTTAAAGGCTATTATTCTACATACTTTTGGGGTCCAGGATCCCCCTTTCCCTTTAAAGGAACCCTTAAAGGTCCCTTATTATAGAGGAGCCCCCGGAAGCCCAGGAGTATGCGGCCTTCAGAGGCGGCGACACCGCGGAGGCACCGCTGGCAGCGGGCGCTGGAAGTTGGCTTCACTTTGGAAGTTGCTTGGATTTTGTGGGTTTAGGGTAGGGTTTAGGGTTTAGGGTTTAGGGGTGTTGTAATTGTAATCGCATTCGGGATCATTCGAGTACGGTCTTAAACTACGATGGGCGTTTACAGAGGTTTTTGTCGTGAACAGAGAATCTGCGTACCGGAGTTGTCATGTTGTCATGCATTTGTATGTCAGGTGCCTTAACGTGGTTTGGAGAGGTGTGCATTTGAGAGTGGCAAGCGCCACAGCCTCGACCTCATCCATGCCCAATGACATGTCTCAGAATCCCCGAATCGCAACACCGGAATCATAAGCCGCACACTACAACGCGAACCCTAAAGCCCTAGGCCCTGAACCCCGGACGCCTGTCGGAGTCGAAGCACGAGCTTGCCATCTCATTGCTGAGGCATCTCAGAGGAAAGCGTGAAACCTGAAAGTGCCCTGGCTTGGCTTTGGTAAATCCAGCGGTGTACAGAGTGCACAGGGGGCAACATGTTGAATTGAAACCAGAGTAGTGGCGGCAGTGGCGAGGGGGGGACAGTGCTCTAAGTAAGCAAATCATGAAATGCAAAAGTTCCAGTGTCTTTTCCTACTATGAGTACCGGTGCGCTGTTGCTGCCCTTGTCGCCTAGTAGCTATTACGGATCATTTCATGGTTGCCACTGTTGTTTGTCAGAGCTAGCATGTACTTTTGGTATCAGAAAAGCCTAAACCCGAAACCCATCGGTTGATGATATAAATCCTGCATCACTCATAATAAGGGATATGCGCACCATAATTCCCATAGTTTAGGG